CGGGGGCGGCGCTGCGCGGGCGCGGAGGCGAGGCGCAGATAAGGCCGCCACCCGCCGCGGTTGGCAGACGGCCGGCGGGGACGGGAAAAGGCCGGTGTTTCCTCTGGGGGAAGGCCGGCCCCGGGGAGGTGCGGGAGCTCCGCAGCGGTGGCCGCGATGCGGGCCGCCTGGGTGCTGCTGCCGGCGCTGGCCGCCCTGTCCGCCTACTACGTGTACCTGCCGCTGCCCGGCACCCTGTCGGATCCATGGAAGCTGATGCTGCTGGATGCCACCTTCCGGGCGGTGCAGCAGACGGTAAGGCGGCCGACAACCGGTCCCGGCTCCGGAGGGGCGGAGGAGCCGCGCACGGCCCTCCCGGTGCGGGAAAGGGGGGGTCCCTGGGGCCGGGGGGAGGCGGCGGCATCGGGGGCATCCGCGTCTGGTGGGGCCGGTCTCCGCCGTAGCGGGGGAGGAAGGGGAACCGGGATGGGGGTTCAGTGCTCTGGGATGGGGTTCCGTGCTCTGCCGGCACAGGGAGCGGCTTCCTCCTCATCCCTAAATCAAGCGGGTGCGTTGCGGTAACGCCGGCATCCCCGCTGCTCTGCTGGGTTCCGCGGTGCAGGTCTCATTAGGTGTGGTTGAGCCCCGTTGCCAACCTCACACGATGGAAGGGTTCAGAAGGAACCTTCGGAGATCATCTCATCCGACCCCCCTGCCAAAGCAGGGTCACCCAGAGCAGTGGGGGCAGGAACCCATCCAGGTGGGATTTGAACATCTCCCGAGGAGGAGACTCCACGCCATCTCTGGGCAGCCTCTTCCTGGTCTCTGCCACCCTACAGTAAAGAAGTTTTTCTCATGTTGTGACAGAATTTCCTGTGTTCCACTTTGTGCCCGTTACCCTTTGTCCTGTCACCACTGAAAAGAGCCTGGCCCCATCCTCTTGACACACACCCTTTAGATATTGGTAACCCTTGATGAGGTTCCCTCTCAGTCTTCTCTTCTCCAGCCTAAACTTGCAGGCTTTAGGTCGAAAAAAAAATATTTTTTTTATTAACTATGACTCAGGGAAAGAAGTCATAAGGAAACTGTTTCAGATATTAAACTGCCTTGATTTGGAATCATATTGCTAAACAAAAATCTGATTTTGTCTTGAGACACACCTGACAGTTCTGTCACTTCACTGATGTCTCCCTCATTTTCTGCCAGTGTTTCTGTGCTGACATGAAACAGATCAAAGATCGAAGACTTTCTCCTAGTGGCTCCAGCTGTGAACTTTATTTTCTTTTGGGACGGGCTGATCTTTTACAAGGACTGATCAGTCATGGTCAGGCCTGACGTAAGGTACTATGGATGGGAAAGTATTCGTTTTCTTATAAATTTCCTATCAGTATTTCAGTTTACTAAGTTGGTTCTGAAATGTATGAAAAGTTGTAGCTTGAGTGGATGAGTGCATCAGCATATTCAAAAAGGCATTAAATGAATTAATGAAGAGAGGGTCCATAAATGGATACAAAAAGGACTAGATGGGAATGTACCTTCTGTATTCCTAATATAATAATTGCAGATGCTGGAAAGTGTGAGGAGAGTGGACCACACACAGTTTCCAGACTTGTCCACCTGAATAGCTTCTCTGGTTGCCACTGTTGGAGGTGGAGCCTAGGAGTAGATAGACCACTTGTGAGCATCTTCTCATGGTCCAAACGTGTTGCTGAATCAAAGCTTATCTCTAGGATGAAATGATTAAATCTGTTTCCTTGTATAGGATTAAAACCTGTTTGCTTGCATACCTTCCCATATGTCTGCTATGAAAATTATGCAGACGTGGCTTACAATTGCTTCATTTTTCAGTAAAACCTGTAGCTTGACGCTCAGTTGCTCCGTGTTAACTCAAATAACTGAGCAGCAAGCGCTCAGCTTGGCCAACTTCATTGGTGCCATTTCCCACCCCCACTGCATGCTGCTGGCAAAACAGCCCAACAGTTCAGCCAGCAACACCTGAATCAAGGCCATAACCTCCAGCTGAAGGAGACCTATCTTCGGAAAATCATATGACTGTGACTATATATATATATGTATATTGCTGTTGGCTTATGTAATAAGTAGTTTCTCACACTTATGGACACGTTCAGCTTGTTTATGCGTCGTGTTGGGCATAGTCAGCTGAATTCTGGTGCCTTTCTCTAGGCTTGGAGACTGGAGGGTATCTCTAGGGATATTCTAGAGTCCTAATCCCCAAGGAGCTGGCAGGAGAGCCTGCCCAGGTGGAGAACACCAGCAGGAAGGGCTGAGGTGCCCACATCTGTCCCACTTTCTGGGGTGGGGAAGTCTCTGTTTGGAGGAAGTGGTAATTTCTTAGCTGTTTCCATCTCTGGCCTTGGAAATACAAACTTCTATAGTGAGAAAAATTACTAAACAATTACCAGCTCCTGTAAGGTAGCTTACAAATCAAAGGAAGGAACAAGTGAGTCTCACCCGTAGGAGAAGTGAGGCATTAGAGGCGCCCTGAATCACGGGACAGGTAAGCCTCAGGGCTTTCCTTTTCATGGAGAAAGGGAAGGTGCTTTCCAAGTGTTCAGAAGTCTTGCCAACACTGAGACACAGCACAAAGTCAGGAATAAATTACTGCCTTTAAGAAGGAAATGTGTGAACTGAAGCTAGAATTGCAAAAGTCAAGCTTGAGTATTTACTTTGAGAGCTTCTGTGGGTATAAAGTATATGTCCTTTTGTTGAGCTCAGCTTCTTCTTTCTTCCTCTACCGGCTATTGCAAGACCAAATGGTTTAACATTTCTCTAAATGTGACCATTGAACTTTCACCCACTTGTGAATGTATTTTCAGCTTGCTATTTATTGCTTTCCTTTGTAGGTTTGATAGCAGGCAGAAGTACATTTCTGATTTTACAATCTCTGAAATGTACTGTAATGCCTTTTTTCCAAGAGCATGAAACAAACTGCGTGTGCTTCAAATACAATTAATTGTCTTTTGCTTATTTTGAAATAGACTTGCAAAGACACTGACAATTAAGCGTGACAATTTCTTATTAGGGATAATGTGTTTGTTTTCTCAGTGCCAATAAAACTACCAATAAAACATAATAAAACTGTCACTGGCTTTCAGTGTAGCAATGAGAAGGTTTTGCGTTTCTGTGTAGAGTTTTGTCCCAGTCAGCTACAACTTTTTTTACAAGCGTGGGACTGACTCAGTGTCCTGGCTCAGCCTGAGACGCCTCAACAATCACATGGTTAAAAAAAAATAGATATAATGCTCGTAGGGCAGTTTATATAAGTAGGTTTCAACTTACCCTACTACAGAAGGGGACCAATACTGTTATCCTAATCTTAAATTGGGGGGAACGGAGATAGGAAGAGATGAAATGCCTTATCTGACATCACAGAAATTCCAGTGGCAGAGCTGGAAACTGAGCTGGGTTTGCAGAGCCTTGTTCCTGCGCGTTCTTTAATGTCCTGTACAGCCCCAGAATGAAAACAGAGACATTCAGCCTTTAATAATATTAATGAATTGATGTGAAGGTACTTAACTGAGGCTGAAAGTAATTTGCCCCTCTCGACCTGTCTGAAAATGGGCTGTGGTGACATTTTCACAGAAAACTGTGATGTAACACGATTTTAGAACAGAAATGAAAAATTATGTACATTCATATGTATACAGGTATACAGTCAGAACTCAGCTTCACTGAAACTTGGACAAACACATAAAATTAATTATGGGATTGAGCCATAGATTAAACCACTGTTATTCTTTGCCTTGGTGTCTGTCAAGAAGTGTCTGAAGCAAGATTTCATAATTCTGCTGTTAACAGCAGGATTGATGCAGGGGGTTTTTGGTTCTTCCTTTAACCGTTCTCCCTTATGGGAGTAAAGAGAGCAGCATATGTTTATTTAATAAGCCCTTTGAAATAAATTTTTCTGAACATCGCTGTCAAGATACTTGCTATTCTGGTTGCATGGCAAGGAAGAAGGGATTTTTTGGAACTGGGACAGCTTTCAGCAGAGGTTTGGAAGGACAAATGGGTTGGCATAGAGGCTGTTAGACACTCGTATATGGAAGAAGGTAGGCAGCTGTACAGGGGAGAAAACTATCCTCATATTTGCCCTCATCAGCCAAGTGATTCCTTCATGCTTCTCTGCTGCTCACTTTCAGAATAAAATCTAGGGCGTGGGATGTCAACAGTCAGGATTAGGGAAAACGGTAATTCATTCTTTCTGACATTTTAATATCTCTCTACCCACGTATTTCAGAGTATGTGACTTTGGACATGTGTAAATCACAGCTGTAGCCAGCCAAGTAAGTTGTTGATGTTTTCGCACATGAAAACACGGTCTTGGAATTGGTTTACAGGAAACCAAGTGGTTAGTGGTGGCAGGTAGGTCTCAGCTGTGGCACCTGAGCGGAGAGTGAACCCCACTGGAAGTCCTGTTTGCAGTAACAGGTAACTTCTGTCTAGCTAGTATAAAAGCAGATCATTTTGGGTGAATAGGTATATGCACAAAACCTTACGTAAAAATGTCTTGTTTCTGCTTCTAATTGATAACCTGTAAAACAGCCTTCTTGGCTTCTTTTCAGTTCTAAAGGAAATTAGTGAAACTATGAGCACTTGTCTTTGAGGACTGTATGTAACAGCGTTAAAAATACATACTCTTTAGTGGGCAATAATGCATCTGCACTAAGAAATGGTTCTGTAAAATAAAAGAAAATAGACGCTCGCCCTTAAACAGGATAAGCTGCCTGAAATGCACACAAACCAGCATGTTCTGCACACAGCTAAATGGGGAAATAATCCTGTTTATTTTTGACTAATCTCTATTACTGACTACAGATATTGCAGTTAGCATTTTGGACTCTAATGTGACAGAACTGTGTTTTGCAAAGTGATGCCAAAACTGAGGATAGCACCCGCATCTTTTAAGGTAGGAAGTTTAGTCTTAGACAGTTCAGTCACCCCGTTCCAGCATCATTACTCATCCGAGTCATGAGTGAGATCTGGCTGGGTCCCAAGTAGTGGTGCATGAAGGAAAAAAAAAAAAGAGCTTTAGCTGTTTGCTTAATTCCTGATCCCGCCGAAAGGTCGGTGCAGGACCTTGGGTCTGACCAGCTGTGAAGGCGGTTGAGGAAGCAGCTGATGAATTCGGGTCGGCTGTGGGGACACACTCACTGCCTTTGTGCGCCGCCTGAATGCGACCTGTTGCAATAATTTCACGGCTAAAGGTCAGAGATGTGAAGCCCGGGCAGTGTCAGCTTTGGAAGTCATACGAGGACAAAGAATTCCAACGTGCCCAGTGCTGTGAGAGGCTAATA